ATATACAAAATCAATATCAAACCAAATGCCTCTGATGGCAATATGACACCATCACCCCTGATGCTGTGGAGCAGGCCCTGGGGGAAACTCCCAGGCTGAACTCAGCAGCAAATGGCAACTGGGTAGAGGAGCTGGACTCTGGAACTGGATTCAGGAACACACAGCTCAGGATCAAAGGCAGAATGGACTGAGCCCTCTTCAGATGCTGGCCAGTGAAGGAGAGGCAAAAGAGAAGAAATTAACTCTCACGATCCTTCAGCTTTATACTGAATATGCTGGATATGGCATGGAGTACTCCATGGTCAGTTTAGAGTCACTTGTCATGTCTGGAAAAAAAAAGATATGGGATGGAATCGTTTATTGGTCAGTTTAGTGTCACCTGTCCTGTCCACTCCTCCCTGCAGGTACGGCCTTTACATTCTGCACCCCTCAGAGTGGTACACAGGCTTTAGCAGTGACCTTGGTCTGCGCACCAGTCCTTGATGGTAGTGGAGCCTTATCGCTGTGAAGTGTTGGGGTTAAACCTCCAGGACTGAATGAAGGCTGAATCATGTGAATGATGATATTCCCAACCAGGCAAGAAAGACCCTCCTGACTGGTTTTCACCCATAGTCTCGCCAGCCTTGGGTGGGAATTGATCAGGAGATCACCACCCTGTGCCCCCACCTCCCACATTAACTTGGAGGCAGGGCAAGAAGCCAACTATATAGAACTGACTCTGGTTGTAGTAGAGTTGGGAGACCTGCTCACAGAGCAGATGTGGTGTGTGGGGATTCTGGTTGTCAGAAAGGTTTCCTGACTGTGTACAGCAGGTGGAATTCCAGGGATGGTAGGGAGAAAGATGAGTCTTTACTACATAATTGGACTCTTGGCCTGGCTAATTCCATCTCCCATGGCTTGGATCCTTCGCCAGCTTGCTTCCTTCTTCACATCCTACACAGTGAGTGAGTGTTTTAACTTATTCCTCCCTCTGGTGGTGTGACACTGTAGATCGTTTGCATACAATTTAAGAGCAGAGGGAGGAATTTGGCTGTTAGTCTGCCTGTTAATGATAATCTCATTCCATGTTGGGCAAGTGATCAGCAGAAGACACTGCTAGAAGCAGACACTGCCTGCAAAAATATGCCGTTAACTTCAGAAAGTGCAGTTAGAAGAGACTTAAGCTGAAAAATAAACTCACTGAACAGAATTAGTTCTGTTCTAACCCAAATCAGGACAACAGGGTATCGAACAGAAGAATAATTAAATAGGAAATAAAACAGTGCTTTGTATTTTAGACTTCAGTGGAGCATGCTCACAAGTGGGAAATGTCTAGGTCAGTGCATCAAGACCTTTGAAAAGGAAGCAGGAGAATCAGTAGGATGAAAACAAACACTTCCCTCACCGTAAAAATCTCTCTGATTTTAAGTATTGAGGTGCCCTACCAGTAATTCCATATTTTAAATGGAACTATTTAGATATAAGAATTTATCTGCATGTTGTAGTTGAATGTGATCCTTATATTTATTTCACTAAAAGTAGCTCTTTGGGAACTTAAGCCCACTCTTGTTGCCTTTCCTGCTCAGTACTCCCACATCCCCTCAGCACAGGAAGGAGGTGTCTAGCCTCAGACTCTGCTACTTCTGTTACCCACCTGACATTCATAGAGCTTCTTTCTTCCCTTTTTAGCTCCAGCTCCAGACTGACAGGCCGTCAGGTGACATTTGAGTGTGCTATTTCTAGCAAAACGTTCATGGCAGTTTGGACATTCAAATGGTTTTTCACCTGTTAAGACAGATACAGGGATTAGTAAGTGTACAAAATCAGCCAGTTTTCTGTCAGCTCTCTCTTCTTCCTCTCTCTCCTTTTTGTGTAGGTTGATAAATGTGCTGTAAAGATGTGGCCAGCTGGATTATTCTACACAAGAGAAAGGCATTCCATGGGAACTTCACTTCTGTAAAATGACAAAAATGTAATGTGAAGTCATAATTATAATTTGGAAAAAAAACTAATGCAACAATTACCAGTGCCTTTTAAAGTACATTTAGGGTTTTTATGGAAACCAGATTCCTATCCAACAAAATATCTTAAAAAAATAGCACTCTCTTTTCACCTGATAATGTTTACAATTAAGGAATTGGCATTAGCAAACACACAAAGCAACATATTAAAGAAGGACATATTTAAATAATACCTAGTTTTATTTTCAAGAACAGTAACAGCGTATGCTTGAGAGCTGAAACCAAGCTCCAGAAAAAGCATTTGGCACAGAACAACCACAAAATAACAATGCATCAGTATTAAAACAAGCAAACAGCACCCTCTCCCCCTCAAAACAGAGTGGAAAGAAAGCATAGAGGGACATAAATGGGCATAAGCAAGATGAAAGTTCCTTTCAGTTTGGCCACTTTATTTCAAACCTGGTACCAAACACAGGAGCCAGCTAAGGACAACAGCAGGGGATGCTGAAAACAGGTCTTTTTCTCTTTTTTCACCCTAAGTAGCACATTGTTTTTCCTGTCATCAAGTGGTAACAAAGAACAACTGGTGTCTCTGTTTACTAATTTCATCATGCACAAACACAATGAAATTGAAGTAAATTAAAGTACAAAAAAAAATTAGGAACAGTGTGTTTCTTCTGAAAATCTGATAATTAATCTCTGGAGATACTGACACCAACATCACTGCTGAAACAAATGGCTTAATCAACTCCAAAACAGGATGAGACACTTCAGTGAATAACCTAAAAATCTACTGTAGCTGGTTTGAAAGCCTGCATTTTCAGGAATGCAGTAGTTATTGACTATTGAGATGGAAAGCCACTAAAACCTATATTTTTCATGAATGAAGATATTCAGAAGTTCCTAATTAGCTTTTCACAAGAAACTCACAAGTAGCCTGCAATTCTCACTTCTAAACCTAAAGCCTACAGAAAAATGTTAAATGGTAGGAACACTCCCCACAATGGTTACAAAATGCTGTGGTTTAAGAAACTGTTGTGCAGGTAATGCAGAGGATGCTGGACTGCCATCAGCGTTCCAGGTCAAAAACCACACTTAGCCCAGGCAACCAATGGATACTACAGAGCACCTCTCACACCACAGACCTTCACCTGCCCTGTGATCTGGTCACATTTAAATAGTTACTTGGAGCAAGGCATCTGTCAGAGACAGATTTATGCTATTCTTACTCAAATTGCGCAGTAACCTCCAACCCATTCTGCCAAAAGTGTCTGAAAGTGACAATTCAAAAATAACAGTGGCAATAAAAAAACCCAGCAAACCCCTCTCCACACACCTCTTGAGTGGACAGACCACAAGGCAGTGACTGGGGGAGCAAAGTCCCTCCCACTGTAGGAGAACATCAGGTTCAAGACCCCCTGAGGAAGCTGAACATACATAAGTCTATGGGACCTGAGGAGATGCATTCGACAGTCCTGTGGGAACTGGCTGATGTAGTTTCAAAGCCACACTCTGGGATATGTGAAAAGTCACAGCAGTCAGGTGAAATCCCTGGTGACTTAAAAAAGGGAAACACTGCACTCATTTTTAAAAAGAGTAGAAAGGAGGACTCCAGAAACCATTGACCTGTCAGTCTCACCTCTGTGCCTAGGAAGATCATGGAACAGATGCTACTGGAAGCTATGCTAAGGCACATGGAGGACAGGGATGTGACTGAAGGCAGCCAGCACAGCTTCACCAAGGGCCAGTCCTATCTGACCAACTTAGTGGCCTTCTCTGATGGAGTGACTACACCAGTGGACAAGGGAAGAGCTACAGATGTTGTCTATCTGGACTTTGATATGGTTCTCCACAACATGCTTCTCTCTAAATTAGAGAGATATGGACTGTTTAGTGAATAAGGAATTGGTTGGATGTTAGCATCCAGAGAGTAGAGGTCAATGGCTTGGTGTCCAGACGAAGACTGGTGACAAGTGGTGTCCCTCAGGGGTCCATCCTGGGACCAGTGCTGTTTAATATCTTCACCAAAGACCTAGACAATGGATCAAGTGCACCCTCAGCAAGTTTTCAAATGACACCAAGCTAAGTGGCATGGTTGACACACCTAAGAGACAGGATGTCATCCAGAGAGACCTGGAAATGTTTGAAAAAGTGGGCCCATGGGAACCTCAAGAGGTTTAACACTGGCAAATGCAAGGTCCTGCACCTGGGTCAGGGCAACCCCTGGTACCAATACAGGCTGGAGGATGAAAGAACCGAGCAGTCCTGTAGAGAGGGACTTAGGGGTGCTGGGGGTTGAAAAGCTGGACATGAGCTGACAAGCCGGATGGGGGCTTTGAGCAACCTGTTGTAGTTGAAGATGCCCCTGCTCACTGCAGGGGTGTTGGACTAGATGACCTTTAAGGGTCCCTTCCAACCCAAACCATTCTGTGAATAACCAAAGGCTAAAGGCCATCATGTGACTTCTTGCACAGCACAGATCAGTGCTGTGACCTGGGCTGCAACAGGCACAGCAGTGATGGAAAACATGCAGAGCATGCCAGCCGTTTGCTGCTCTGAGAAACACACTGCTGAGATGGGGGCGAAACTCCCCAACCAAAGGTGACAACTTGCTTCTCCCTCCCCCACGTGTTATCCAACTGCGAGTTCAGTCTCATCTCAGTCAGATTTTATGAAGGGGGTAGCTTTTGGCATGATTTAATAATTACGTTTTTCTCCCTTTATGGGAATGGATAAGATCTCATTTGCCAATTTTAAGTAACTCACAGGACAGAAATTCTGATCACATAGACCAATATTGGGCTGGTCCTTTATAATCCAGCAGTCACAGCAAGGAGACTGCCGCAAATAAATATTTTTTAACCCAAAGGTATTTGTAACAAGTAACACTTACATAAATCAATATATTAATTTTTAATACAGGATTAAATATTGTTGCTATTAATAATACTATAACATTATTAGGATATGAAATATTATATTAAAAAATATACATATTTTAATATGTAAGAAGCACTAGGGAATTCAACAATAACCATAAAACTACCATATCATTACTGGGATTTGGTTTAGACAGAAACAGTACACTTAGTTTGTTTTTTTCCACAAACACACCAAAGGCAGGCATTTATCAAATGAACTTCTTGGGATTATTTATCCAAGGTATGTAAAGAGTCAAATGATTCACTCCTAGTGCAAACGTTATTTGCACTTCGAAGAATTCTTCCTGTGAAACTTATTTGAGATTCATCAAGGCTGGCAAAGACCTTGACTGATTTTTCCCAAGCTGTCCGTATACAAATTACTTCAGTTATAGGGTTTTCAGACAGAGGTAGAATAATTTAGCTGCTTGGAGGACATCACAACTCCTTCACCTCTACCTTTGCTCATGGGAGCACGCACACACACACACTCTGCATAGAAGGGAAAAAAAAAAAAAAATCAAGAATGCCTAGCCTTCAGAAATATTCAGTAGTCAAAATTTCCTTTCATTCTAAGATTGACTTCTGTATGAGGAAAGTGCTTTTCTTGTGCAAGACAAAGCAGAGCTACTGAACTCAACAGACACACATCACTGCCTTGCAGCTGTCTGTCCTGCAGGAAATTAGGGTGGGCAAGTGAAATCTCATCCATTCTCATAAAGGGGGAAAAAGATAATAATTACACCAGGCTAGACCCCCTTCCTCTCTCTAAGTCCTAGAGATGACTTTGTTAATGCTTTCAAGTTTATATGACACGCAAGATGTTTTGGAGGTATTTATTCAGAGGATCAGAAGCTGCTCAGGCACTGTATGCATGAGCAAGAACCTAATCCCGTGCCTCTCCTTTGTTGAGACAGTGATAACAGACATTGGCAGCGTCACTGAAAACAATTACCAGCACTTAAAGAGTGTCTATTTCTGCCCAAATTGCTACTTTCATGTTATTGCTCTTGTGATTAAGCACCAACAGGATCAAATACTATGTAGGGCATTTTCTCCCAGGCATTTTAATTTCATTTTCGCATTCAACCAGTGCTACAAAAAATTTGGAACTTGGAAAGCCTTTGGATGAATGGGATTTTCTCCACTGACCTTAAGAGATCACAGTTAAATGGTACTCACATTTTGATTTTAAGCTTAAAGCTTTTGAAAACGCTAAACCAGAAGTAGCTAGGTTCCACGTGTTACACTTGTTGCATCAATATACATTTAGGCAGTACTCTGTACCTCCTGTAATACACTAAGTTGCTTTGTCCCCCAAATACTTCACTGCAACAGCAAACAGCATATTGTATTTGGGTTACTCTGTTAAACTGCCACAAACTTTTCTCTGAAAAGACTTTCATTAAGTATTGGGATTGCTCATAATGGGGAAACACTCCCTGCCTCACAGGGGATGGGGATTTGCCAAAGACTGTTTATAAATGGAGCTTTTAATGGGCTATTTGGAACAGACTGGACATGGTGTCACATAGCAACACTCAACTGTCAGAATACATAGATATATAGCTACAGAGAAATTAGAACTAAAATGCTTTAGCAAAAAGAAGCTGCAAAAGAAATAGGGCTGCTACCCTCCGTTAAGTTCTTAATTCATGGTGACTCATGACCGCCATGCAAAACAAAACCCTCTCAAAGATCAGGACCACATATATTTTACGTCCAGAGTTATCTGTGTGATGTTCCGTGCCTGATCAGATAGCAGGCTCTTCAATCAGATGAAGAAGCATCTTAACCTCCCATATTATAAAGAAGGAGCACAAGTAATTCTCTACTAAAGATGTTCAGATTTGAAAGAGGCAGATTTTATAGTAAAAACAGATGCTAGAAATGCTTTGCTTTGCTGGTTAATGAAGAAAAATGCAAATCGTAGATGAGATATCAAAAGCAAGGGTGAAACTTTCCAAACAGGACGATGGAGAGAATTGCTGCAGGGCACTTTATGCCTAATGCATTAACAGGCATTCGCTCAAACGTTCTGTTAGATCAAGAAATCCCCTAAACTGTATTCATCAGAGCTTCATTACAGCTTTCTGGTTTTAAGTGCCTATTTGTAACCACCTCAATCCCTGAAAAAAATTTACATCAACGGAAACCAAAACAAACACAAGAACAAACAAACAAAAAAATCCAAACCAGTATTCTAGTTGTAGCTAGAAGCCAAGGATTTCTAGCACTCAGAACTAGCATTCTCTTCAGCATATGTTCTACTTCCCCAAAACATGCAAATCCCCAAAATGTTAGAGCCAAGGCCACAAGGACAGGATTATAGGAGTATTCTTACCTGTGTGCTTCCGGAGGTGCTCTTTAAAATGTCCAAAGTGGTCAAACTGCTTACCACAGTACTGGCATATATGTATTTTCTTGCCAGGCCTTTGCTTCTTGCTGGCACCACCTTCATCAAGATGGTAACAACTGAGGTGCTGTTTCAAAGCACTCTCTCGTAGGTACCTTTTATTGCATATGTCACACTTGTAACTCTCAGTAGAGTGTGTTTTCATGTGCTCCTTAAAATGGTAAAACAATTTAAATGAACGGTTACACATCTCACAGTGGAATAAACTGTTCATGTGCGACAGCTGAAGTTCCACAATTTCAATACCTTCTACCTGTTTGCACGAGGGATCAGTTGCACTATCACCTTCTTCTTTGATCTGGCATTTTCTCTCTCCCTGGCGATACTTGCTCGTGATATCTGCCAAAAGAGCTAAAGCAGATTCATCTGATGTTCCCGTTGTCTGTATGTACTTTATGGATTGCTCTGCAGAAGCTACTTCTTCAAGCGTCTCAATGCTGTCATCTTCCACTTCAATCGTCCCTTCAGCAATCTCAACCTCAATTTCAACAGGCTCTGATTCTACAGATGGCAGTGTTTCTGTGATAACATTAGAGGTTTCGGCTATTTTCCTCTTTTTTGGTTTATTTTTACCTTGTGCTTGATTTGATTCTAAGGGTGATGAATTTTCTTTGTTCCTGTAAAGTATTTGCATAAGCATGGTTAAGATCCATAAGCACTGACATAACAATTCCTGCCCAACAATGAGCTTCTGCATCCAACACTCTCTGGCTGTTTCTCAGAGAGGCCAAATGACAACTGAGCACGTAATCTGCATGCGCGTCAGCAGCTCACTTGTCCTTAACCTGTACTCCTCAGAGCTGTAAAACAGCATGGTTAAAGCTGCAGAGCCTTCAACGTAAGGCTACTGGAGTGTATTAAACAGCTCTCCCTGAACGATACAAAGCACCCCTCTTCCTGATAGGCAAATTAACCTAATGGCAGGTTTATCTAAGAAACCTGTGAAATTCTGTACTTGGAAACAAAACGTCCTGGAAGAAAGGAGTTTTCTACTCCCTATTGCTTTCACGTTTTCTAGTAATAGGAGAGATGAGGCTTTGCCCATTTATTCGTCAGGCATATATCAGAGATGCATGGCTTATGATTTAATGCAGGATACAGCTTATTAAATTGCATCTTATTCTATTCAAAGACAGAAAGACAGAGCACCCAAACCTAGAACTTTATCTAGCCTGGATTTCTGATGTCTAAAGGTGACAGTTACTTTGCACATACTGCAAGGAGTTCCAGTGTCACATACCAGACGAATAATCTGCCCAGCAAAGAGGAGACTACCATTGTTGACCACATTTTATGAAACTTTGAATGAGGATACACAAACACAACTGCACTACAAGGAATAACAGCTGGTTGGTTTCTTTCTAGCGTAGATTACACAATGTGCAACTCCTTGATTCACTATACAAATAGTGCTATAATCATCTCTACTTCAGCTGAAGTCTCTGAAGCTCACCCCTCTCAATCAAAGCTCTGACTGAGTCATTAGATTGTTATTTTCCCCCTCTGACTATGGGGGAGAAAACAGAGACTCGCAGTGGCACTCAAATTTGTCTAACAGAAAAACCCCAGCAAGCCCAAACCAAATAAATCCCCACAAAAATCTTTTCAAAATCTCTGAACAATGGAAGTAACTCCAAGAACAGACTGGCTTGCATGTATGTTTGTTAAACAAAAGCTTGTTAAACAAAACATTTGTTTTCTTGTAACATCAGAATTGCAGTGTTACCTAGTTAAGCATAAACAACTGAAGTGCTGGGGTTTAAATCCACAGCCCTGAATGAATGATGTCCACAACCAGGCAAGAAAGACCCTCCTGACTGGTTTTCACCCAGGGTCTGGCAAGCCTTGGGTGGGACTTGATCAGGAGATCACCACGCGGTGCCCTCACCTTCCACATTAACTTGGAGGCAGGGCAAGAAGCCAACTATATAGAACTGACTCTGGTTGTAGTAGAGTTGGGAGACCTGCTCACAGAGCAGATGTGGTGTGTGGGGATTCTGGTTGTTAGAAAGACTCCCTGACTGCTCACAGCAAGTCGAGTTCCCAGGACGTTGGGGCAATATCATGAGTGTCCTTCTGGAAACTATGCCATGATAGAACTCATTGCCTGGCTGATTCCATCTCCTACAGACTGGTTAACAGGTCAGCTTGCTCCTTTCTTCACACACTATGCTTTATTTATTCCTTCCTCCAGTGGTTTGGTACCTCGGATCATTTACGTGGGATTTAAGATCAGAGGGAGGGATCTGGCTGTTGGATTGCCTGTTAGTCATAATACCTTTCTTTATTGGCAAGCAGTCAGCAGACGAGCAACAAACTGCATAATGTTATACAATAGTTGGAAATAATTAAAGGCTGGACAGTTTAGCTTGATGGATGGATCTGAAATCTGGGT